TTGCCACCACAATCAGTTTCCAAGCATTGTTTTTCCTTTTTGGACTCCTTGACATTTTTTATTTGTAGCATATTATTTTTATTTTTAACGTTTTAACCCCTAAATACACAGAATTGTCAAGTGAATCACTTTCATTTGCTCAATTAGCCATTTATATAGGACCCTACCATGTGCCAGGCAGGCACTGCCCTAGGTTCCAAGAATGCAGCCATCCACAAAAGAGCTTCGCGAAGCTGGCATGAAATGTAATACGAGGGGGCTTCCAAAAATTCACGAAACTTGCTAGGGAAGATCATGGAATTTCCCACGAACTTTGAGAAGCCCTTTCATATAACATCGTAAATTACTAAAGCCCCCCTCTCCAGCTTGGTCCATGATTTCATAATATTGTCTTCATCGCCATAGAAGAGATCAACAACCCAATGAAGTTGCAGCCCTCTCGTGTCACCGACCCCAGCCACCATTTCTCTGCCCCACCCCCATCCTGCCCACTCTCCTTCCCCCTCTCCCCTCCCCGCTGAGAGGTAACTCTCTTGAATTTCAGGTTCATGGTTTTTTTGTGCATGTTTTTATGCTTCACCTGTGTGTGTCTAGGTAAACAGCCTCGTAGTTTTGCATGTTTTAAAACCGGATAGGAAGAATGGCATTTCTCCGTAGTCCCCTCTGCTCTCCCTTATGTCTGCATTGTTTTCAGATGAGCCCCTGTGGAGACTTGTGCTCCTCGCCCCCTTACTGTAACTGTTGTCACGTTTCCCATGGAACGAGCAGATCATGTGTAGTCAGCCTCCCACGGATGCGGATGTGGGTTGTTCACATCTTTTTACAATTACGAACAGTGCTTCCATGAAGGTTACCACGCACGGCCTCTCCGTGGACTTCCGAGCAGAGCTCCTGGGCGGGGTTTTTACATTCTCGTATTCGCTTCGAGGGTCAGCTAGGGAAGCAAAGAACTACCACAAGGTGGATGGACACAGCGGCTACAACAATGAGCTCCGACATAGCAACCCCTCACAGCATCACCGTTAAGCTAACCTTTAGTCTGAGATGATTCTTTGGAATCACTCTACTGAGCAGCATTAATTACAATTAACCACAGATCAGAGTTGAAGATCTATCAGCAGTAATTTTCTTTTGCCAAGTATAAAGTGAATATTGAGAATAGTATTGTATGGACCCTCCCAAGCATAATTGTGCTTTTCTCATCTCGGGGAGAGAATTTGAGAATTAGGCCCCTAATTAATATTAATCAATGTCACCTTTGCGTTAGGATAGTTAGGAGTGAATACTCAGTCAGATACATTCCAAGAAGATAAATCTTAAATGTTGGCCCAGTCTATCTCCAGTTGAAGAGGGATTGGGTGATAAAACAATAATTATCAACATAAATACAAGCAGGATAACTGGGTTTTTTTTTTTAATCTTTCTTTGGTTTCACAGCTCTAAAACAAAGTGTGTCTATGTTGATTGCCATTCATAGTCAATCAACTAACTTTATTCATTAAACATTAGAAAGGGAAATTGTCAGAGACTTGTTCCGAGAGAATTTTTATATTCCATCCTCCGGCCTCAAGGACCCCTGGTGTGCAGGGGTTAAGTGCTAGGCTGCTAACTAAAAGGTCAGCTGTTCTAACCCACCAGCCAGTCCCGAGGAGGATGGCGTGGTGTGGCAGTCTCCTTCCATAGCGACCTTGGAAACCCAGCAGGGCAGTTCTACGCTGTCCTGCAGAGCCACCGTGAGCCAGAATTGCTGTGAACAGTAATGGGCTTGGTTTCTGGCGAACCAGACCTGAGTCTGGACTGAAACTGGAAACCTGTAGACGCTTAACCCCGTCCTTCCCATACTGTGCTGCTGGGCTTGGTCAGCCCTGTTCATTTCTATGATAAGTGTTGGCTGCCTGTCTCTCGTGCCTCTTCCTATAGGCCCGAAACTGGTCGCCACTAAGTGGCCGAGCAGCGTAGTGGGCTCCACGCCAAGTGAGTCCAGGTGCTGGGGACAAACGTGGACTTTCTACCTTCTGTGGATCCGTGGGCATGTGAGGTAACCTGCCTGTGCCTCCGCTTCATGACCCATGTAGAGCAGCATAGGACAGTAGTGATCATTAACAGTAACTGGCCCATAGAACCTGGGGCAGAAGTACTGACTATTATCAATGCACCCAAGACAAGTGCTGTGGTTTTTTTGGCTCAGAATAGAAACTAATAGAAACTAAAGCTAAGGCACCGTAATAAAATCAGTGCTAGATTTAATAATACTTCTTACACACATCTAAAAGAGCAGTCTGATTTCATTAGGGCACAAGTCTACAGTGACGCACCTTCCCTGGGGACTTGGCTTATGTATCATCAAAGGGCACTTGTAAGCTAGATGGTTTTACACCTGAGACAGTCCTAGGTGGTAAACAGTGCAAATCCAAAGGCAGCTTTATAGCGAAGTTGCATTGCTGGTGATTTTTAATAAAATATTTATATTATCCCCCCCATTAGATTATTTGGAAACTAGCCATGCGAGGGAGGGAATATTCTATTCTCAACACCAAGCACAGCTGCAGGCAGTTGGTAGGAGCCCAGGATTATTTGTTAGCTGGATAGTGCCATGGGTTCTAGAAGACAGGAGCAAACAAAAATTTCTCAGCTTGATTGAGACTAAAAAGAGGCCTCAGATAACTCGGTGAAGGCCATGAGAGAAAGAGCAGATAGTGTTTTTCAGAAACTCCTTTGGTGGTGGTGGTGGTGATGGTGGTGGAAGTTTGTCCCTGCAATCTGCCAGCCAGGTGATTGTTTGAGCACCGCTTTAGAAGAGAAATCATTCCCATTGACTGAGAACTTTGCAGGGCATCCGAAACTGCCCTGCACACAGGCATTGTCTCGTGCATTCCCCAGGACAATTCTGGGCGGGCGATTTTTAAAATGATTATTATCCCTATTTTACATCTAAGGAATGTGAGGCGCAAGGGTGTGTGTGACTTCGCTATGTTCCTACAGTCACCAGGGTAGCAATCGAAGTCCATCTGCAGCCTTGTCCGAGAAAGCCGGGCAGGACTGCCTCCGTATTGTAGATGAAGCAACGTGAGGCAGGAGGCCCCATGAATAACAAAGGGACACAACTAGAAATGGAGCTCCGGACTCCAAGGTCCGGTCCACGCTGTTCCTCAGGACTGTGCTAGGATGCAGTAGCCAGGAAAACATTGTATTGAACGTACCAAACCGGGCGGCGTGCTTCTGTTCGATTGACTAGCACTTCTTAGATCCTGAGTTAAGTGTTTCAAGGTGTGCTTAATAGTGCATAAGACATTGGACAGATGTGACCCTACCTATAGGCTCCCTGCCAGGGCCAGCTGTCCCCGATAGAAAGAGCGGGAAGGCTCCTCAGAGATCAAGACATTGAAGCCCTGGGCAGGTCATCCGTTTAACAAAGGCCCACTCTCTGTTGTCGGATCACCTGCACCTACAACCTGAGAAGCCATGTGCTTCTTAATTTCAAAGAGAAAAACCAGTGTACTGCCTCTCTGCAGCTTCACTCTGCCCACGCAGCCGTTGGCAACCTCTGTGTGACCAGAGCTTATGTGGATTCACAAAGCTGGCTGGATGAAGTCCACAGCCTGATCCAAACGTTGGGGTTCTCTGGTCTGCTTGCTTCTGAGGAGACCAAGCTGTTCAGGGTGGTGGTCAACCAGAGACCTATGAGTTAATCGAAAGGTTTCCTTGCTCAGCAGCATGCTTAGCTATCCTTCAGGTGTTTACAAGCCACCGGTAACTAGTGGCCACTCTGCTGGACGACCCGGATACAGCACATGATCAGCTTCAGCGAGAGGTCCCTTGGGACGGCACAGCGATCTCGGTAGCACATCGAGAGAGCGAGCTGCTGTGTCATCTAAGAGACTCGAGGCCGAGTACGTTCTAGTTTAAGGAGACCTCTAGAACATTTGGTGAAAATTCGATCTCGATGTTGAGTCAGACGCGGCGAATGAATTTGGGCTAGGTGATGAACCTGCCGCCAGAGCCCCCTCTTTTTCCTCGTGGCTCGCCGCCCTCCCACCACTCCCAGAGACTTTGTCCCATTCCTCTCGCCGCAATCCCCAAAGAGCCCGGGTTGCAGAACGGGTTGTGAGTTGGGCTGTTAACCACCTAGTCCGTAGTTCCAACCCACCAGTCACTCTTGAGGAGAGCGGCGAGGCTGGTGTCTGCTCCCTAAAGATTTAGGCGTGGTGCATCCAAGGGAGCAGCTCTGTGCCGTCTCACGGCACCGTTAGGAAACCCGAATCCACGCGATGGCCGTGGTTTGCTTTCTCGGGGTTTTTATCACATGTATCGCTGTCAAGAGAGAAAGGAGGACAGCAGCCGTGGAAACTGGTTTGGGTACATGATCCGTGTTTCATGACATCTTTCTCCCCCTCCCTTTCCCTTCAGGTCCTTGAGGCCACGCGGGTGAATCGAAGGAAGAGTGCCCTGGCCCTGCGCTGGGAGGCAGGAATCTATGCCAACCAGGAGGAAGAGGACAACGAATAAACTTCCTTCACCCCGGGAAGCTTCTTTGGTGCTTGGGATGCCAAGAAACCAAGAAATGAATCGATCGATGCATTTTAATGGAGTTTATTAAAGTGCACCCAAACTCAGCAATCCTTATGTAGACCAGAAGCTGTAATATACAAGTGAGGAAAAATGCGTAAAGGGAAAGGGAGGCCCACCCATCACATTCTGACACCCAGGAGTCAAAAGAGAAAGGACCCCATTTTCCTTGTGTGAGTCAAAGAACTGTGGATGTGGGCCAGTGCACAGCTGGTCAAAAAGGACGAAGACGTTACGGGCACATCAACAGGGTCACTACATGTAGAACCGAGACCAGCCTCACTGGGCGATGAGGAAGAACGGGTGTGGTAGGGGCTGCCATTTGGGGAGCAGTAGGACCCAGGCCAGGTGGTCTAGCGGATGTAGGGTATTCTTTGCCCCTGCTGCCCACCCACCACATGCAGCACCCTAAGTGTGGGGTTCATTCCATTCAGCCCAACAGCCATAAAGTGAATGATGTTTCTTTCCATCTGTGCCCAGAAGAGAGGCAGTTATGATTCCATTTCTCTTACACTTGTCTTTAATTGCGAGCAATTATTGATTGCAATACATAAAATCCATATTCTTAAGACAATACTTCTTCATGTTGTACACACAATCTATTCTATGTTGGGAGGTCGGGGGGGGGGGGAGAGGAGAAAGCCAAACCAAATGGAGTATTTTAGCTTTAGGATCTTGTCTGCTTCTTGTCCTGACTGATATGCCATTTATGAGAACACATTTTCATACTTCTGTTTCTTCATACGAAAACTGTATTTAGTGGGCAACATCTATTTTTATGACGATGGGATGGGGGAATATATACGTGTATAATATCTGTACTCACTGGACAGCTTGGTTCAAGATGGTAAGGTTATTTTTAGAGCGGCAATAATTGAAAAAGGGGGGGTAAACTCTGCCTTAGAGGGATAGATATTAAGACACAAAAGGTGTTTATAACTATATTTTATATAATAAAGTGGGCCTTAGAGGAAGTAGGAAGAACGACAGGTGATTTTAGAGCAAGCAGAAAAGGCATGAAGGTAGAGAGGAGGGTGGGCAGGAGAAAGAGTGGAGAAAGGGGAAGTAAGTGATTATTTTCTGCTGAACAGCCAGTGTTTTTCAGGGTGATAGAGGCTAGAGATTTAAGTACAGGCTTGGAGTGAGCTACAAATCCTAAAGATGTGTGTGTGTGTGTGTGTGTCCTCGTGTGTTTGTAGATAGTGTGTATGTTCACCAGTGAGAGTGTGTGACAATTCCTGAATGCTCGGGGGATGTGGGTGTACAGTCATTTCTTCCAGAGCTGCTTGGCCGCTCGCGCAGTGAGTGAGAATGTCTTTTTTATGACAAGCAGCACACGGGCACCGAGTCGAAGCTGTCTTTGTAGTATTCCATTGAATTTGCATGGGTCACAGTCGCAGCGTTTTGAGCAGTTTCATAGTTTGACACTTAGGAAGATGCCATGTTTATTCTCATGCTTCCTATTCCCGCCTGGCCTACGTAGACGATACCAGCTGTGTTCTCGCTGCCACCGAGAGCAATACAATGAGGGCATTCAATCCTTGAGTGCCCGCCATTTCTGAATTTTCCCACTTCTGGCCATCAGAAAAAAACTCACCAGCCCTTTCTGCCGTTTTCTTTTTCTTCCTTTGTTTTTTAAAAAAAGAAAAAAACCAAACCTCTGTTTTTCTTTTAAAAAGCAATAATTAAGTCAGACCTCACTAAAATTCCGTTTGGTTTTCCTACTGTTCCGTCCCGACTCTAACGCGTTAGTCGGATACGCAGCATTTCCACAACATGGGGACGTAGTGTGAGGCCCACGATGCCTGCTGCTTTTGTTAGGCTCTGGTTGGCTTGGGGGTCCGGTTTCTTCACAGACAAACGGTGGGCACGCGGTGCGAACGGTGCCCCTGGCTTACAAGGATCCTGCCCACCTGCCCGGGGAATCAACGATTTAAAGATGAGTTCTCCCGAGGGCAACCGAGAGCAGCACGGGAGCCTTTGGGGCCATCTCTGTGGGGCTCACCCTTCCGAATGCTCCAAATGAACTCCAACAAAATGGGCCAGCCCTCCAAAGGACAACACCAAATGAGGTCCCCGCCTTAAGGAATTGGTTTTCTGGTGGGGGAGGCCAGCGTGGGGACATGCAGGGCAGGGGGAAATGAGATCAGAGACCTGGGAGGTGAAAGGGCGGCCGGTATCCAGGTGGGAGGGTCATCACGATTGCCAGCAGTCCAAGGTGCCCCGGCTGATATCCAGCAACCAGGGGCGGTCCCTCTGCAGGCCCATGGGTGAGGCAGCAGCCTCGGTGGGGTACCACTAGCAGTGGGGTGGCTGGACCGTGGCGTAAGTTCATGGGCTACACAGACAACAGCTGTGCTTCCTGTTTTCTGGGCGCCATCCTCTGGCAGGGACCATGGACGTCATGCAGGCATGTTTGCTCCCAAAGTGACAGTGCTCGTGACTTATCTGAAGTTTTGTTTTATTTTTGCCGAAAAGCACGCACCCGCAGTAAACCGACATCGGAAAGGAGAACTGTCGCCCAAAGTGAAGTTCAGGGTGTCTCACCTCCCCGGAAGAGCTTGAGAGGCAGACAGACTCGGCTTTGTCTTTGACTGCACCACGCACTGGTTACTTAGGGACAGTCTAGACTTGTGGAGATGGGGCTCGCGGTCCAGCTTCCAGGAATCGGTAAAACACCGGTCCCAACGCTGTTTCCACCGAGAGCAGCTCGTTCTCCTACTTGGCCTTCCGGGAGGTGGTACCCTTGCTTCCCTGGCCCCCTTTACGGAGCATCCTGTTTGAATCCCGTCAACATGTAATTCCCATGTCTAGGAAGAGTCGGGTTTTCCCTGAGCTCTTTCGAGTTGTCCTTGACCGCCTGCAGGAAACATTGGGCTGCCACTTTGTACCTAGCACTGTGCAGGGCTCGGGGAGGCCCAGGAATCTTCCTGAAGATGGAACAAGCCTGAAGGAAAGTCCTGCTTCCTAATCCATGGAGGGACCGAGGCTTTGGGGAAAGACACCTGTGCTCCCTGTCCCCCCAACAGCATGCCAGCTTGTCACCCTCCACCACAGAATGTGCAGGTGTTTCAGAGCCTTCCTGAAAGCGTCCCATTCCGCAGTGTTTATAGCCGTCACGAACGACTGACATGCTTTGGCTTTCGCATCCAGAGATCATGGAAACAGCGTCTGTCGGGCAGGAGGGCGGCTGTGTTCGTGAATGATGCAGTGCTACGTCCCTGCCTCTCTACTCCCGCATGCTGCCCGCGCCAGGCAATGATATATAAGCAGTATATAAGTCAGTGTCCACATATATATATGCACACACATAGGTATGTATAAATCATAAGGAACACTAAAGCAGGGTTGACTCTTGTCTTGGAAGACAAATAATTGAATTTTTTTCTAACTAAAGAATGGGTTGAATTCAACTTTGTGTTGGGGAAGCAAATAGCCTCTGGGTTAGAGATGGTCGAGATATTCAGTTTTAGTTACAGAATCAATTTCCTGGATTTTAAGCATTCAGTGAGCTGCCAATTTTGATTTTGTGTTGCTCTTTATCCAAATCCTATATACGAATATATACCCATAGAGAGAGTTTTAAATTCTTTTTTGGAGGAGGGGGGGAAAGCAGCAATACTGTGTTTTGAGAATTATACTCTGTATCTGGCTTTCCTGTGTATGTTAACCACCTCAATGTTATTATCCTGCTTCAGTTTTATAGTGATTGTGAGGCATTCAATGCAAGTATACAATTATTTTCTCATTAAAACTCAATGTGTGTTGTGTTTTTCTAAGTGATGGTTACTTGCTAGGGGTGTGGAACGGCCCCGGGGCCCCGAATTCTGTGTAACACCACCTGCTGTTTGCACAGAGAAGAGCTCATGCCAAATAGTGGGCCACCAGGGTAGCAGGCTAGCTCTCACGCTTCCCACGGGACCCAATAGAATGGGCCCCTGCATCTTTTGATGAGGTAGACTCGAAGCCACAGCGAAGGATGGGCAAACCAACAGGGTAAACCTGTAGCTCACGCTCTCGCTCTGAATCCCCAGCCCCGGTATTGAGTTCACCTGGGGGGCGTCCTGGTAATGCTTTGGGTTAGGCATTGGGCTGCGTGCCAAGAAAAAATCAGTGCGCAAACTTCACTCCCCACTCTGAGAGAAAGGTGAGGCAGCCTGCTCCCGGAACGACGGACAGTCTCAGCAACGCCAGGTAGGGTCGGGGAGAGTTAGAAACGACTGGATGGCTTGGGCTTTTTCCAGAAGGTGGGACTCTTCCTCCCCAGTTTGTCTTCTGCTTTTCTGTTTTCATGTTCCAGGTGCCCTGCCCCCTGCCGTCCGTCAGGAGCCCTGGGCTGGGTCAGGACGGGTGGGCACCAGGGGGACTTGGTCTGTACTGCCCTTCCTTCTCGATCCTAACAGAGCCCTCTTCCGGCTGCCTGTCTTAGCCAATGATAGGACTTTTCCAGCCTTTTTTCCCCAGGATCCTCTACTACGTTCATGCCGAGGGCCTGCCTCCTCTCTGTGGCACCTTCTCTTGGGTGCCACCTTCCAACCTGGGATTTTTGGATTCACAAGTCCCGTGGGTGAGGTGTTGGTGACGTGCCAGCCACTTGGAACCTGCTTTCCTGACACACAGTGGCATTCCCACACAGCCGCACCAGGGGCTCTGTCTTCATTGCCTTTTTGCCCATGAAGGAACTCAAGCTCGGGGCCACTAAATGGCTTATTCGGCGATGCACAGCTCATAAATGGCAGCTGTGGATTTGAACCCAGCCAGTTGGACTCAGGAAGCCTTGCATGTAACTCCTCTTCCTACAGGAACACAGGCAGAGGTTCACCTCCGAGCGCCAGCCAACTGTGCGTGCATAGAGACCAGGTGAGCTGCTCACACCTCCTCTGCCTATGCTTCCAGGGGTGGGGGGTGGGGGTGGGGGTGCTACACTGGATCAAGGCTGCATCTGACAGCCCACGTCTGCAGAAGGAGTGGGGCCTTTGATGGGAGCTGCTGCAAGATGCTAGCTTCCTTGCAGGAAATTCCTCCTGGGTCCTTGTGGCACCAGCTCTCCCAGACAGGCTCTGGAGCAGAGTGGGAAGGAAGAAGGGCTTGTGTCTACTACCTCGGCCATAAATCTCAGGGTCATTTGATTAGTGAAAGACGTTTTTCTTGTGTGGAGTCAGAGCAACATTGAGATTCGATCATATTTTTGATGTGGTTAGGGGATACACATTTCATAACCAGCCTTAGTGAGTTTGCTTGAGTAACATGGTTGCCCGGTTGGAGGTGAGACCTCAGATAAGAGGTCTTAAGTGTTTTCGTGAGAGCAGCATTCCGACTGCATGTTAGAATCACCTGGAGGGCTGTAACCTTTGGATTAAATTGGTCTGGACATGGGCCCAGGTGTTGCTATGCTTCAAACGCGTCCAAGATAAGGCTGCTGTGCAGATGCTGTGCAGAAAGTCCTGAGAATCACTAGTTGGTGCACTGCTTCCTAAGGCTGGCTCTGCTTTCAGTGGATTGGCTGCTCATAACAGACCGCATCGTGGGAGTGATTGCATGGTATTTGCCAACCCACTGAGAATCGTGGCCCAGCC